GTAGCGATTCTGACTCTGACTCTGATTATATAGGAATTATTCAAAACAAACGTATACAATAATTAATTTTGTTGTATGCTAGCTATTTGATATTATTTGAACAATGAATTTCAGGTGACTAATAAATTTTAAAGGTCATTGCGCCACGCATGTGCAGGGATTTCTGTTGAAAAACAGTGATCCTCCCCCAACCAAATTCGTATTTTCATTTCAATCAGAAATACTAATTTCCACGTGAATGCGTGTGTCAATCGCAGCCTTGTTTAGAATATGGGTCCGTCTAACTCATCGAATATATTGGGTGCCTATATATATATTTGACTTGATTTTTTTTGTTAGAGTATAACTTTCTTTTTCTACCGTTTGTGAATCAGCGTGAAAGTGGAGAATAAAGGCACAGTGTGTTTTTCCATGAATAAACTGTACAAATGTACGGTATATGTTCAGTTTTTAGAAATACCTATTTCGCAGTTATACGAATAAGAATGTTAGTAAACTCATGTACACTGATGTGCACAAAAGGCACATTTATAGTTGTTTTGCCAAACTTTAAATGTACCTGGCGCGAATTTCGTGTAAACAATGTATTTTGTATGGAACACACATCGACCACGGCGCGACCCTAACTTGATGAACCGTTCAAACATTTTCCGGCGTTCTCTGAATAAAATATGGTACGCAAGCTGATGTAAAAAAAAACGCATAAAAGGGGTGTTATTTAGTTATTTGACGCGGGTATAATTTCACAAAAATAAATACGTGTTTAGAGGCTTTTTTTAAAAGCTATACAGTATGGGTACCAGGTCTGACTTCGAGTTGGAGCAGGGAGTAACCCCCCCGGGAAACATTTGTTCAACATGTTTTGAACTGATTACAATGTGCACTGACTGACTTTAGTATATTGGAAACAAATCTTCAGTATACATTTTTGAGATTCCTGTGTGTTCATGATAAATGGATGCGTACCTAGATTACTTTATATTAAATGATTTCTGCATGTGTTTTTATGGTTCTGAATCATCAAATCTTATAGTTAACAGTACTTACTCTAACTACTTATTGGTACTTACATAAGCCGTTCCTATGGTCTAATGCACTTTTCCTATAATTCACAACACTGAGGGACTGAGACCCATTTACGTAGTTTTGACGTCGTAAAAGTTCCCGAAAGGGCGCGATTTATAGAAATGCTGTATTTTGTATATATAATACATCAGCGATAATAACCGCACTCCTTTTGTTGTAATAAATAATAGAGGGAATAACTCCAACACCGTTCACAAATGAGGAATTACTTGATTCTTGATTTTAGTTTCGATGAGGGAGTTTGAAGAATAAACACGATATTCTGTGTATAAATCGAGCATTATGTCGCCATTGTTTATTAAAACATACCATACTAATTGTAATGTGTGTATGTTCTTTTCAGGGGATATGGTTGAACCATTTATTATACCCGAGGCAATTTAATTGTTATGGTGCATCTTGTTCAGCGAATGGCCATTTAATGTTGTCAATTATCAATGACTTGAGGAGTCTTATCCATGCACCCACAATTCATTCAGACGGGAAGTACAGACACAATACAGTGTATCGCATTTGCGAACATTACACAGTCGCATCACTCAGTTAGTTTTCGTCACTTGTTACACAATGCCAAAGGTTAAAAGGAGCAGGAAACCTCCTCCAGATGGCTGGGAGCTTATAGAACCGACACTAGATGAACTTGATCAGAAAATGAGAGAAGGTAACTTACTAATACAGCAGATTTTGAAAGTTTTGTTTTGGCTCCGAGTCA